CCATGGTTAATGCTGGCGCCGCTTTAACTATATTTTTTTATTAGTTTGATTTTTGTTTTTCACTTCATTCAAATCTCTCTCTCTCTTGTTTCTTTTATTATTTTGGTTGTTTGTTGCTTCTCTCTCTTCAATGGCTCTGTGTTTCACTGTTCTTTATCTCTCTGTATCATGGACATGAAGCCGCCTTATGGGACCTCGCGTGCTCTTCCGGGTCTTGACTCGAAGAATTAGTTGAATTGGGGCTTTCCTTTAGTTTCGTTTTGTTTCACTCTAATGGAAGCTACACACTGAGGCAAAAAACTTTGTCTTTTTCTTACAAGTTTTTATCATTTTTTTCCCTTGTGAAAAGCTATCATAATCTTTGATTCAAACCCATCATTTGCGGTGAATTGTTTGTACTCAAGCTCGATGGTTTACGCCAACTAAAACTGGGTTTTTGTTTCTTTTGAGGCTCAAAGTAAAAACCAGAACTTTTTTGGCTGTCTTAGATTGGGGTTTGGAGTAGAAATAAAACATGGTGGAGCTTGAAAATTCGTCACCAATGACAGTTTCTACAGCTTCTGGAGAAGCAAGTGCATCTTCTTCAGGTAATCAGATTCAAGGCACTCAACCAACAGGAGGAGGACCACCGAAGAAGAAAAGGAATCTTCCTGGAATGCCAGGTGAATTATAAAAACAGCCAAAGTCCACCCTTTGTTTTAATCTCAATAATTTGAATTTCCATGTTTTCTTTCATTTTGTCTCGCAATGTTGAAAAAAGAATCATCTTTTTCTGTTTCTTTTTTGATTCATTCAGATCCAGATGCTGAGGTAATAGCTTTATCTCCAAAAACCCTACTTGCCACCAACCGCTTCGTTTGTGAGATCTGTAATAAAGGCTTTCAACGCGATCAGAACCTCCAGCTCCACCGACGCGGTCATAACTTACCATGGAAGCTGCGGCAGAGAACCAGCAAAGAAATTCGAAAGCGAGTCTACGTGTGCCCTGAGCCAAGCTGCGTCCACCACAACCCAGCTCGAGCCCTCGGCGATCTTACCGGTATCAAGAAACACTTTTGCAGGAAACACGGGGAAAAGAAATGGAAATGCGAGCGGTGCTCTAAAAAATACGCTGTCCAGTCCGATTGGAAGGCCCACATGAAGACTTGCGGCACCCGAGAGTATAAATGCGACTGTGGCACCATCTTTTCTAGGTAAGAGGAACTCATCCGTTACCATTTCATAATTGAACACCCTCTCTTCCATCTTTTATGCGTTTTGCTTCCTTGGTTTTGACGGTGGATGATGTGTTCTTGAAGGAGGGATAGTTTCATAACGCATAGAGCTTTCTGCGATGCTTTAGCTGAGGAAAGCGCGAGGGCTCAAACGCTGGCGATTGCTAATACAGAAGGGAATGTTAACGCGAGTGGCAATGGCAATGGGAACGGGAAAACTATGGTTGGAGGAGGAGCAGCAACGTCGCCACCACCGCAGCCTTTAACGCCGTCTTCAACTAGCGTTGTATCACCGGGTTTGTCAATTCAGAGTTCAGGTAAAAATTTGTGTGTATGTCTTATTTATACGTCAACTTTTATATAGAGGGTTTTCTTGCTTTGTATTGTTTATTTAGATTTATAGGTCAAAGTAGAGATAATCGTGGGTACTTTTATATCTATATATATATATATATATATATATATAGTTGTTTTTGTTTTTCTATTGTGGGTGAAGAGAGATGAGAGGCCATTCAAATGAATTTCTGGTTTTTTATGGCTCTGTTTTGTCTCTTCTTGATGTCGTTCTCGTTTGGATATTTAGCCTTAGAGAGAACCTAGCAAATGTGGTAGGTGAGGGGAGAGAATAGAGAGAGAGAGAAGTTCAGGAGTTTGGTTTTGGGTTCACGAGCGGTATGGTTACAGTGTCAATAAGCAAGCTCAATGATCGAAAAGCGAAAAGGGATGACCTGAGAGAAAGAAAGGCAGCCATTATTATTGCCTTTGCTTTTACTTCCAAAGCTTTCAAGTTTTAGGACTTGCAAAAAGGCCATAATGAAAAGGCCCTCCCCCTTTTAATCTCTCAGCTTAATGTCTTTGGTTTTGTCTGCTGCTACTTCAATCTTCATCATTGTATTTTCACTATATACCTCTTTTTTGCAAGTTCCTTCAATGGCCTCTCATTGATCTTTTCATTGTTTGCATTCTTGCAGAAATACCAGATAATCCGATGAGACTTTCACCACCAACTACAGCAGCAACTAGTAGCTCTACTTCAAGCAGCAATGTTTTTGCTAGCATATTTGCACCAAACTCTCAACCATCCAAGATACCAGCACCATCTCCGATCCTTCAATCAGTAGCACCTTTAGAGCGCACATCCCTCTCCCTTTCCTCTCCTCTCTACCTCTCCAGCAATGGCTCCTCGATCTTCACTGGACCTGAACATGACCATTGCCGCTATGCTCCGTCTCCTCGACCAGCCATGTCCGCTACCGCATTGCTACAAAAGGCTGCCCAAATGGGTGCAGCGGCATCAAACCCTTCACTGCTCCGCGGTCTAGGCTTGGCGGTATCGTCAACTTCCACTGCTGGTCAGGATCCTATTGTGAAGCCAGAGAGCAGCTCTTTGACAGCTGGCCTTGGCCTTGGTCTTCCCTCAAACGGAAGTTCTAACTTGACTGATCATATGATGGACCCATCCTCGCTGTTCGGGAACAAGCCTACTACACTTGACCTTCTTGGCCTTGGCATGGGTGATGGTGGAGCTTCCTCAAGCGGACTGTCTGCTTTGCTCACTTCCTTCGGAGGTGGCTTCAATGTTGGAGCAGCTACTACATCATATGCGGCAGGATCAGGGAGTTCGCCTAGAGAAACATGGGAAGGTGCACCTGAGAGAAAACCCAACGGCCCAGCCATGCTTTAGAGGTTAATTCAGTTCCCTAACTTCCCCCTGGTACAGGAATTGAAGAAGAAAAGTCACACCATTTTGTTTTTCAATCGTTTTTGTCCATCATCGACACAAAAGTGCTTAGAACCCAGAGAAGGATGTTAGAGTTAGACAGTAATTTTGGCTTTCCTTTTGTTAGTACTGCCTTTTAAAGTTAGTTTCCTTTTGAGGTAGAGTTTAATTTTAAAATCTTGGAGATATCACTCAGGGAAAAGGGTTGTACAGGAACTTTTGTAGCTAGAAGCTACCAAACGTAGCACAAATTATGATGCTCCTATTATACAGTTCTCTTTTTCTTAATTGCTGTGTTTCACTTTGCTTACAACCTGACTGTCTACACAGGGTTCAATTTACCACACGTTGACTGAACATTAAAACAACACAAGTTGCCAACTTCAGTTAAAGACCATTTAAGTTCCATTAATCCAAGGTTTTTGAGTACTCCAAGTTTGAAAATGATTTTGTTTGATGGGAAGATGACGGTGCTTGGCATTATGGTGAGCTTGAAGTTGAAAGGCGTTGGTCAAATAAGGGGGTCGGCCAGTCAATTCTAAACAGGAAGCGGAGCCCCTTTGGGTGAGTTCAGATTTCAGGACTGTCGAGCCCCCATTTAATAAGGTGAGTTGGCAATGCCATAGACGCATGTGTATCCTGACCGCTGCTGGGCCCTCTGAGTTTTATCGGTGGTGGGGTTTTTCTGGCGTTTCGAAACGATTACGCGTTTCAGAACAAATGGATGTTCCGTAAGCTTTCATGCTTGGTTTATGGCTTTAGGCCCCTGCACTAGGAACACGTTTCGGACATGTCATGTGTTTTGCTTTTTCCCATGCATTTGTGGTCGACGAGTCCCTGTTCTTACGTGGGATTGATGTAGCTCTTCGTTATCATGCAACTACCAGGCTCATGACTCATGAGTTCAAACCCATTTCACACCCATTTCGTTGGCAGCCCAAATCCCATTTTTGCCTCACAAAAGATTAACCGTCCTCATGGAGGAAGTTAAAAGATCGGCGAGCGGTGACGGTCGTGATTTTTTATTTTTTAATTTTTAATACATATATAAAATTTAATATATATATATAATATTATTATTATTATAATTATTTTTTATGCAAAATTTTATATTCTTCGTTTACCGTCGTTATTAGAGTTGAATGTCAGATTATGTTTGTAAACCCGAATGGTCAAATATTAATTAATTATTTACCTCCCATTGACAAAAGAAGACATGTTTTTCTTCTGTATGGCAGTACAATTTAGGATACGACAAGCATTAGTTCAAAGGACTAGAAAAGCAGCATTCCACTTGATACAAATAATAGAGCTTATAGATTCGCATATGAAAAACATTGTAAACATTAAACCACGATTTGCTATTTACCTATTAATTTCTCACTTTTCGTTACTGACCCCATAGACTTTCCTCGTGGCTCCACCAGAAAAAATGTCTCAAAATCAACATATCACAGTAATTAAGCATGTACGAGACTTAATTAAATCGTCACCAAACCCTTTCTTCAACCAGAATATATGAACCCTCTTTACAACCAAAATCTTCCATTTTCATGTTTTTAAATTTTGCATTAAATGTTTAATAAAATTCTTTTATTAATATCATTTTTATAGTCAAATTATTTATTTTTGTTGTTAAAATTCAAGATTTAAAATGTAAAAATTAAAATTTTTAATTCATAATATAAAATTATAAACTCTCAAAATAAAAAAAAAATTCCAATAAATTGCACGTATGCTGTACTAAGTTTTTTTCATGCAACGTGAACGTAATTTTACCGAGGAATAACTAAAACAAAACTCAGAGTTCGGCCACGAGTTATCTGCAACAAGGCTGCACGCCTTCTCGATCGCTGGTCTAAAGTTTGACGTTTGGACATGGGATGGTGTAACGTATCTAATCGAATCTAATGATTAGGTCTGGAGTATGGAAAGTCTACTTAGATTTGTTTAAGCCTTATGCTTGTTTTGTTGACTTTCCTGATACACCTAATTTGACTACACCTGCTTTCGTAGACATTGAATATCTTGAGTTATATATACAGCTAAAGTGTTTACATGAAAATCTTTGCTAATACCACGGCCACTTACATGTCTTTCTGCATGTAATATAAATCTGCTGCTTCTGCTTGGATGGCTCTGTCTTGGGTGTCATTGAGAATCCAAACCCAGTTCAGAAAACAAGGGGGAGGGGGCCCTAGCTGTATCTACCGTCCCATCTTTGGAAGCTGAGTCAAATTAATGCCTGCTGACCAGCACGATATCCTTGACCGTGTGGCTTCTAGTTATAGCAAGTGGTCACGCACGTTTATTAGTTCTGGCTGGTTGAAGCCTAGGCTTGCAATAACTGACCCCGCCATGATTATGGGGGTTACTCTCAAGCATGTTTTACCAAGGTTTCTGCCCACTAAGAAAAACAGAGAAAGGTGGAGACAGAAGATGGAAATTTGTGAATCAATACGGATGCTGGTCAAGAATAATCAGCAATGGAAAATTCAACAAATCTACTTGGCCTTTTGGTGTTTTCTTAAGTAATCAGGATGATCAAGAAGAGAGATTAATGGAGGAAGAAATCATAGGTAAGTGCAGGAACTTTTACTGTTGCAGGGAAGAAACAACTGCTAATCTGTTGAACTGGTCACTTCGCTTTTAGTATTGCGTCAAGATTGGCAGAAAAAGCGAGGGATTAAGTGATTCGTATCTGTAAACACAAAGAACCGGTTTCTGACAATCTAAGCGACTTCAAAATTGTAAGTTGACTCTTGGTTGACCTTTTAGGCTAATTTCTTAATCCAATCATCCAGATAAGTTAGAATTGACAACCATGTTAAATTCTTCTTTGATAATTTGCCAAAGATGAGAATAACAAGGAAATTGCTTGGAGAAACAGTTAAATTGTCGAAGCAAGTGACTTTGATTGTCAATGAAACGTTTAGACCTTATCCTCCCTGTTGATGTTAATGAGGAAACCAACAAGGAACGTTGTGTTAGGTAGGCTCGACATTCCTGCTGGCACAGAAATTCCTGGTAGGACTGGCTGCTATATATCCATCATGATCCTTACATATGGGTAAAAGACGCCAATAGGGCAATCCTTGGAGATTTAAAGAGGCTCGGTCCTTTGGCCTCATTTTTGCCATTTGGGTTGGGGCCTAGAATCTGCACAGGTCAGAATTTAGCCATGGTTCGTGTTCGCTATGATCCTCGAGGAATCTTCTTTTGTAATGTCACCAGTATCTGTTCATGCACCGATGGTGCTTATGACCCTGCAGCCTCAATATGGTTCAGAGATCCTGTTTACCAGGAGTTTGGATTGAAGATTTGCATGGGGCATTTTAGCATGTTTACAACATATTAAGGATTTGCAGTAGGCATAAATCTTTCAATTTATATATTCTATAGCACATAAGTTACAACTTGGAATCCTTGGATGTGTATATGGAGTGGCCTTATGCTTATTTTTTGGCTTGCAGCAGGATCATCAATAAGACAATAAGCCAGCAGATTAGATTTTCTAAAGAATTGCAATTTAATATCTCAAAAGTCAATTTTATTTGGAAATTGGTATTGGCTCGTTCACTTTTGAGTCTATTTTCTAACACTGCAAGTAGACCATGTAAGTCCAACGGTTGTTAAAAAGCAGAGTCATCAAAGCATTACTTTACTGAGTTAAAATATAAACAAATACGACGCTCCTTGTGAACTCTAATCCCTATACCAATCCACCATTAACTGCCCCAGGCTTTAGAGATACAGAGATATTTCACTAATGAATTATCTAGTTCTTTTCTTCATAGCATTTCTTTGCATCTGTCTCTTGAAACTTGTGTACGCAATCGTATGGATCCCCTGGAAGATCCAAAACCACTTCAAAAAACAAGGAGTAACAGGCCCTGGCTACCGTCCGATCGTCGGAAACTCAGCTGAGATCCGCCGTCTGTTTGCAGAAGCTCTGTCAAAGCCAGCTCCACTTCACCACCACGATGTACTTCACCGTGTCGCTCCATTCTACCACAGGTGGTCCAACATGTATGGGAAACCGTTCTTGTATTGGTTCGGGTCAAAACCGAGGCTGGGAATATCCGATCCGGATATGATCAAGGAGGTTGCTATGAACACGGGCGGGGCGTTTGATAAGATCGGGTTTAACCCGATGTCCAGGATGCTCTTCGGACAGGGACTCGTGGGGTTAGAAGGTGAAGAATGGGCCTTTCACAGGAGGATTGCAAACCAGGCCTTTAGTATGGAAAGAGTTAAGGTAAACCAAACTACCTCCCTCTCTTTATATAGTATGGGCCTCAATGATTTTTCAGCGGCTAAGCCCGTCTGTCTAACTTTCTCCTCACACATTTTGACTATGCAACTAACCAATGTAAAACCAAGTGTACTTGATTCTTTACTGGGTTGCAACAGGGATGAAAAGTTTGTTTATATTGGTGATGGGCCTGATGGCTTCCATGACCAAAGATGGATTTAGTAGCAATCATAACTCAATACTGATACTATTTGTATCGGGTAAACGCCTGCACAAAATGTTTTGAGCAGGGTTGGGTACCAGAAATTGTGGCTGCTACTGCTAAAATGCTTGAGAAGTGGGAGGAAAACAGAGCCGGGAGAGATGAATTCGAATTGGAAGTGAGTAAAGAACTTCATGACCTCTCTGCTGATGTTATATCCAGAACAGCATTTGGAAGCAGTTTTGAAGAAGGAAAACGTATCTTCATGTTACAAGAACAGCAGATGAAGTTTTTCTCTGTGGCTATAAGAAGTGTCTATATCCCAGGGTTCAGGTCACCTTTTTCTTTTTTCTTTTAATTTCTTAAAGAAATTAAGTTGCTTATCGACTATGCAAGCATATATATTGTATTCAAAATTATATACTGGTAAATTAATTGGAAGGAGTGGTCTGGTGACTGGTTGTAACGTATTCCATGCCTAACTTATACCACATATGACAATTGAAGCCAGGTAATTGTTGTGTCAGGTTTTTGCCTACTAGGAATAACAGAGAGAGGTGGAGACTAGAGAAGGAAACTCGTGAATCTGTACGGGCACTGATACGGGGTAACAGCAAAAGAAGAGAAAATTCTTCAAGTCTACTTAGTCTTTTGATGTCTTCATATAAGAATCAGGATGATCAAGAAGAGAGGTTAGGCGAGGAAGATATAATAGACGAGTGCAAGACCTTTTACTTTGCAGGAAAGGAAGCAGCTGCTAATGCTTTATCGTGGGCACTTCTGCTTTTGGCATTGAACCCAGAATGGCAAGGCAAGGCACGAGAAGAAGTGGTTCGCATCTGTGGAAATGATAAGCTTCCAGTTGCAGAGAACTTGAACGACTTGAAGATTGTAAGTTTATTTCCTGACTGATCTGCGAAATTCAAATTGATCTGGGAGAATTGTTTGTTGGTTAAACACTGGCAGTAGCACGCATGCTAACTTCAGCTTTTTCATGTTTAAGATCAAAACGATACATTGCAATTGAACATATCCTGCTTTCTCATAGTAACAGGTTGGACATTGCATAATTATGAACAGGTGAACATGATAATCAATGAAACACTTCGGCTCTACCCACCAGCAGTGATGTTGATGAGGCAAGCACGCAAGGACGTTAAGCTAGGGAAGCTCAACGTTCCTGCTGGTACACAGCTCTATTTGGCACTGACTTCTGTTCATCACGACGCTGACATATGGGGAGAAGATGCTAACAAGTTCAACCCCTCGAGATTCATGGAGTCCCGAAAGCATTTAGCCTCGTTTCTTCCATTTGGTTTGGGCCCGAGAATTTGTGTTGGCCAGAATTTAGCCATGGCCGAGTTGAAAATTGCTCTAGCTATGATTATCCGGCAATATTCCTTGGCAGTGTCGCCTACTTATGTTCATGCCCCTATGCTGTTCATCACCCTGCAGCCCCAATATGGTGTACAGATGCTCCTAACAAAACTCTAAGGGCTCTTAATCGATGTAAAATAGATGCAAAGATGGTCTTCTTTGACACTACCGTCTGAGCTCATATGCGAAGAAATCTTTGATCGGAAAGAACAAAATTTGCTTGTTAATGTTATAGCCTTATCATAATAATATTTTGTGATTATATCATATACTATATAAAAGATAGTATAAATTTTAGTTTTCATCCTATTTAGAGCATTACATTTTTTAGCTTGAAGAAGACTCTTGTTACTCTAAAGTCTACACAAACAACGGTTAGATCATTGATGTATACGTAAAAGATTTTCAAAGTTTCCATGGCATAATTTCTTAATATTATAACGATTAAGTTACAGCATGAAGATTTGAATTCGAAAATTATTTTAAAATAAAACTTAAATATTATAATGTGTTTTGATTATGTATAAAAGATGACGGTTTTTTATATATTGAACCAGTTATTTTAATTAAGATAGATTTTTTTATTTATATTAAATGAAGAATTAATTCATTATTCCTTTAATAATTTACTAAACAGATAGAAAATCAAAGGACTTGATTTAAACCTTTTAAGGTCGAAATACTGAAATATGAAAGGAAAAACAGGGTTAATTCGAAAAAAGGAAAAAACTTTTGGGCCAAAAACCTAAAATCCAAAATCTATACTTTGCGCTTGCAATCTTCAACAAACCTTCCAAGCAATTTGGACAAGAAAACATGCCTCATTGCGAAGTACACAAGACGTCCGGCTTCAACAACATTCGGAATACCGTTAAGCTTCAAAAGACAATTCTACCCTCTCCCAAGCCCCGAAACAACCGAAATCAGCGAGTAAATTTTAGCTTATCTAACAGTCAAATCCGTCACTTCATAAATGCAATGTTTTTGGTCAAAATAAAAATCTAAATCTCTCACTAAAAAAAATCCCCCAAGTTAATAAGAGAAACCTTTTAGCGGCTTTTATTTGTCAATTTTCCCTCCCTATAACTATTTTTAGGGTTTCAGTTGCGTTAGCCGAGCTCCCTTTCCAAGAACTTTCTCGACTTCTTTCTCGGATATTTTCTTTTCCCACCGTTTCTTGCCGGAGAAAAGCTTTGGAGTCTTTTGTTTCTTTAAGGTTTATAAAGACAACTAGACGGAAGAACCGGATTCTGGAATTTCGCTCTAAACCGATCGGTTCATTTCCTGTTTTTCCTGAACTTTGGGGTTAGGGTTTCGATTTAATCTTTTTGGTCTTGATGGCTCTATGAAGGTGAGGCTCCGTGCCTTGTTCATTTTCCGTTCTCTTTTACGAGTGTTGACTTCTTGTTCCGCAAATTTTTATCCTTTTTTTCTGGTAGATAATTATCTTGACGAGCTGATTTGGAATTAATTGTATCGTATATAAGCTGCCCCTTGGTTTTATGAGAAATATCTCGTAAGGATATGATTCCCTTAATTGGCGGATTTTGATTACAAATCCATTTTTTTCGTTGAAATTAAGATTAAGTGAACATTGCTATTTGGAATTTCATCGATTTTGTTTAATATTCTCGAGATTTATAGTATTAACCGTTCGATATCCTCTTTTTTGTCTATTGGTTTCTTTGTTTATTTCTTGGTTTGTTAACTTGTTATCTGCAAACTTCTTGGTTTTTCTTTTCAGGTTTCTTAATTCCTGCTATATTGCGAAGGGAGAGCAGGAATTAGCTATGTTTTTAGTAATCTAAGGTTTAGTTGTGTTAAAAAGTTATGAGATTTTCTTGTGCATGTAGTAGTGACTTTTGTGTTCTCTGTAATAGACGGTTGGAAGCAAAATTGCTTTGCTTAAGAAGATAAGATGCCATCTACCCTTTTTGGGAGACTGAGGAGTGCAGTTCAGAATGGAATCCAGAGAACAGAATGTGGGCTTCAAGATTCGATTGAGGTTCTGATTGGGACAGGGAAGCTAGGGTTTGAGAATTGTAGGTTATTTCATTCTTTAAGATTTTCTGGGCTTGCAGATTTGCAAGGTCTTTTGCAAACAGGGACTTTTTTGGCTGCAAGATCAGATTCTCTGTTGGCTAATCGAAGAAGGAACATTTCTGTTGTCGGTGCATTTTCTCGAACAATTTCTGTTCCATCTGTATCAGGCCCTGCCTTCCAGGTTTGTGGGTATCACATTGATTGTGCGCTTGCTGATACCAGTCAAATACCACCATCAGTTAGCAAATTTCAAAGTAAACCTATGGCTGCTTCTGGTTCTAGAGTTGTATTTGGTGAATATCTTGTTGATTCATTAAAGTTAAAGCATGAGCACCTTTCACCGTCAACAAGTAGTGCTGGCATCTTCTATGGAAATCGAAACTTGAGTAGTGGCATAAAAGCTACAATGAGTTTGAAAAACCATGAGAAACCTAACAATTCTCCAATTTATGGATATGTCATGTATACTGTTGGAAAAAGATGGTGCAACTTTAATCCTTCTTCGGGGTCAGGTTCAAGGGCTTTCCATAGTTCATTGCCTTCTTGTTTATCAGCTGGGACTGCCCCTGATGTTTCCTTTGATAATTCTGGACGAGAAGAACAGGTTGCAAATTCTTCTGTGTCATCAGATGAGTATGTTCTCTGTGCTGTTTCTAATTTCCTTTTATTAAGTCTTTTTAATATTTTATGTAATTTATATTTATGCTGTGTTTGACACTCATGATAGGAAGATTTCTGCTGGCAAAACTCTGAAGCTGCTTTCAGGATCATGCTATCTACCCCATCCTGACAAAGAAGATACTGGAGGAGAGGATGCTCATTTCATTTGTGTGGATGAACAAGCAATTGGTGTAGCTGACGGAGTTGGTGGCTGGGCAGACCTGGGTGTTGATGCAGGGCAGTATTCTAGGGAACTCATGTCTAATTCTGTATCTGCTATCCAAGAGGAGCCAAAGGGTTCAGTTGACCCTGCAAGAGTCTTAGAGAAAGCTCACTCTAGCACAAAAGCTAAAGGTTCCTCAACAGCATGCATCATAGCACTCACAGACCTGGTAAGCCATTTCTGTTCTGGGCTTGGCTAATGTGTTGAGTGTTCCAATTCTAACATGAGTAGCTTTTTCCTGAAATAGTTATTTGGCACTCAAGCACTCTCATCAAAACCAAAATATCTTTGCTTTCCATGAACTGATGAATCAATGACCTGCAATTGATGTCTTCGTCCAAACAAATTTATTAGGGATTGCATCGGTTATGTGGAAGGTAACCTAAAATGGGCAATGACCAGAAGTTTCCCCCCTAGCATATGACCTGTGACTTGTGGTAGCTTGGTAAAACTTGAAATGATGAAGGGTCAGAACTCAGATTGAGGCTTTGTGTATTAAGTTACATTCTCTTCCACCAAAATTGCATAAATTACCTCCTTCTTCTTTGTCCTTTAAAGGATAATTGGATGAAGTTACTTGCTGGGACAATATATTTATTTTTTTGGTTTTCACTGCAGGGTCTTCATGCTATAAACTTGGGGGACAGTGGTTTTATGGTTGTTCGAGATGGGTGCACAATATTTAGATCCCCTGTGCAGCAGCATGATTTTAACTTCACATATCAACTTGAGAGTGGGAGTAATGGTGATTTACCTAGCTCTGGTCAGGTAGATACACATGTCCCTCTTGTGCTTATAGAAAACGACTCTTATTTTGACTTCATGTATAATGAAATGTTGATTGCGTAATCATATAAATAAAATGTTTATGCTCTGACAGATTTTGGCTTAAGTGGTCCTGGGATGTTAGATGGTTGTTTCTGCTGCCTGTTTCCTGTGGCTAATAACTTAAATATTTAAATGGGGGAGGATACACTTTTATATTTCTTGATAAGTCAACCAAATTATTTATTAAGCTTTGGATAGTTGCGTGTTTCCATTCCTATTACTTCTTTTGTACCCTTTATTTATTTCCGCCTTGCTGTTTTAAACAAGAATTTTCCAGTTTGATTATTATATTTGAGGCTTTAGTTTACTCGACTGATTGTGAAATATCTAAATGATCTAAATCTTCTGGTCAAATCAGGTTTTTGCAGTGCCTGTTGCTCCAGGAGATGTAGTCATTGCTGGCACAGACGGACTGTTTGATAACTTGTACAATAATGAAATTACTGCAGTGGTGGTTCATGCGGTGAGAGCTGGTTTGGGGCCTCAAGTGACTGCTCAGAAGATAGCAGCATTGGCACGGCAACGAGCACAGGATAGAGACCGACAGACACCTTTCTCAACTGCTGCCCAAGATGCTGGGTTCCGTTATTATGGTGGAAAGCTTGATGACATCACTGTTGTTGTGTCATATATTACTAGCTCCGAGGAAGTATGTCTCTCTTTCTCTTGCATTTGCTCTTAGTCCTTTTGATCCTTTTAGGGAAAGTAAAAATAAATAAAGAGGAATTTGCTAGTTTCATATGTTACTTCAGAGTTCATGCTAAAAGCCCGTGTTTTCTTTGTTTGGCTAGAAAAGCCTCTAGTTTGCATACTCTTCTCTCAAACACACATGACTTGAGTGTTCCTACCAAGCATCTGGATTTCCTGTTTTTTTCTTTTTAATATCTCCATTAGTCGAACTCTTTTTTTATTTACTTCTTCTTCTTCTTTACTTAACCAGCCTCACTTCTTGAACATTAATTTAGGCTTCAAGGCATAAGAGTTGAATTTTGGGCAGTCGCCTTCAGTTTGACCTACATCAAAATGAACTTTTGGGAGTGACTCCATTTGGGTGGCATTCGTGAAAATTATTTACCGCCTTGCCTTTTGATTTCAGAAAACAAAATTAGCCTATTAAATCCACTTGTTCTACATAACCATTAAAACCGGATTATGATAAATCATTTCATTACATCCTTGCTCTCCTTATATCAGACCCTGGGCTGATGTCTTCATGTTTACATAACAAGCTTGCTAATATCTTTTAACTTTTAGTTATGCAGGAGAACAAGTCTTCTTGAGCACGTGCAACTGTTGTAAGGGGAAGTTGACATTGAGGCCATCCAATTTTGTTTTTAGGAAAGCAAATCCTGAAGTTGATCTCAGTTGGCTTTGGAGGATCTATCCCTTGTTCTTTAGTTAGAATTTAGCTACGAACCGCCTCTCTTTTAGATAAAAGTTTTTGTCTTATTCCCTTTATGCCCTCCCTCTATCAAAAGAGTTGGTGAATGAGAGATGCTCCCCATGTTCAAACCACAATTGTTCTTGTATATAGAATTGCATATTTTAGTATATGAAATGAAATGCTCTTGTTGGCAATGAAAATGAAGCAAATAATGGGTTTTCTTCTTCTCTCATATTTATAGTTATATTTAGACCTGTCAAAATGGGCTTGGTCAGTCGGGTCAGTCTATTTTTTTTAAAATATGAGACGGGCCGGGCTTAAAAATTTAAGCCTGTATTAAAATCGGGCCTAAACGAGTTAGCCCATTTAGGACTGAGGGTTGATCCGGGTTGGTACGGGCCAGCCCGGCGGGCTGCAGGGGGGAACCGGGACTCGTGGGAGCCGGAGGAGGGGCGGCAGGGCCGCAGGGGGGAACCGGGACTCGTGGGAGCCGGAGGAGGGGGGGGGCAGGGCTAGCCCGGCCCGGCCCATGAGCTAGCAAGGGTTGGGCTGGGCTGAACATTTTGTAGCTCATATAAAATATGGGCCGGGCCGGGTCAGCTTATATTTTTTCAGCTCACAAGGGCTATGGCCCGGATGGGCCGGGCCGGCCCATATTGACAGGTCAAGTTATATTTATTGTATTAATTAATATTAATTTAAATCCGACCAGCTGTTTCCCATATCCACTGGCCTAAACAAAGCCGGCTAAGTTGCGATTTGGATCCAGATGACAGTGGAGAAGTCAATGACTCTTTTAGAACCGTTGGATCATTTGTTTTTCAACTATGGGAGTCGTCATCAAACCGAAGGGTCTGATTCAATCTTTCTCCCCGTAGTCAATAGCATATTCGCGAAGCACCGAATCCGACCTCCTCAATGTCCTGTGGCAGAAAGCCAAAAGGACAACTTCGCAGCGACGACTATCCTCTTTCCTTTCTGTATCTGTCTAAATTTTAGTTCCCACGTTAGAGTTATGGGCCAAACGCCAAAAGGAGCAAAAGCTTAGAATTGCCTACTGGCCAAGCGATTGATGCGATAGGTAAAGGAAGAGCCTTTCGCTTCCTCGTCTCTCTTTCTGCGACTGCGTTTCAGTGTTGGACTGAGTTGAAAGGAGGATGGCGGGTCGTAGGGACAAAGGGCAGTCAATCCGCGGATCTCGAATTGCTATAGCCATTGTGATCGGAGTTCTTCTTGGCTGCGTCATCGCTTTCTTTTTCCCTCACGGACTCATCAACCCAACTCCCTCTGTTCCAAATCGTCGAATTGGCAAAACCAATTTCCAGGTTTTCAACCTTTCTTTCATAAAAATTTTCATTGGTTAATGTTTTCTTTAAGATTATTAATATTAATCTGAATTTTGTCTTGCTAATGTGTTAAGTTTGAATTGGACTGAGTTGACTTTGGAATTATGAGTGCTATTAACGGTGTTAACTCTTTCTTCAGTCAAAAAGGATTTGTTTTAGAGTTGGGTGTTCAAGGAAAGCAAAGGATTTAAATTATCTTTGATTTTAGTAGGAAATTCACTAATGCTAGTCTAACCTTCACTTCTGGGACGCAGGGGAGAAGGAATTTGAAGCAGTTACGAAAACAAAAACGTATAGTACTATTTTATTCTCCCTTTTTTGGAGACCCAACAAAGGGTCATTAGATCGTCAGTAAAGCTGCACGGAAATTGATTAGCTCTATTGCTACACATGGCACGTAGTAGTAAGAGATTCTTGAAATCGGATTTGTTTTTGAGGACGTCTTCTAACCCACCTTTTACGTTTACTTGCAATAACTGGCTTCCATTTTCCTTAGCTTTGGTCCCCTTTAGGCTGTATCCTCCTGCCTTTTGTTTGACATTGTGCCTTGACTCTGAGCTCAGTTGGTCAACCCTTGGATATTTTGTTGCATAAAATGGGCAGTGGCTGATTGCTAGTAGTGGAATTTAATGTTATGATCTGCACTTTAATGATGTGTAAAGGACCATGGACTTTCTTCTTATCGTGGGATACCCGAACGTTGTAAAGTTAGTATCATCTTGTTTTTTCTTTGTTATTAGTTGTCTGATGTGTGTACTCTTGTTTTGTCTTTTTTCTGCTATTTGTTAGATTGGTTCTTCGTCATGTGAATCCTCAGAGCGGATTAAGATGCTGAAGTCTGAGATTGTATCACTATCAGAGAAGAATTCTGAATTAAAGAAGCAGGTCAGAGATTTGACAGACAAGCTACAACTAGCTGAACAAGGAAAAGATCATGCACAGAAGCAGTTTCTGGTATTGGGTGAACAGCACAAAGCTGGACCTTTTGGTACTGTCAAGGCTTTGCGAACTAACCCAAGTGTTGTTCCTGATGACTCTGTGAACCCGAGATTGGCTAAAATTTTGGAGGAAGTAGCTGTTCAGAAAGAGCTTATAGTTGTACTTGCCAATTCAAATGTGAAAGAGATGTTGGAGGTTTGGTTTTCTAGCATCAAGAGAGTTGGCATACTCAATTACCTAGTCATAGCTTTAGATGACCATATTGTGGACTTCTGTAAGTCTAATGATGTTCCAGTGTACAAGAGGGATCCAGATGATGGTATTGATGCTGTTGGAAGAACAGGAGGAAATCATGCTGTCTCGGGATTGAAGTTCCGTATTTTAAGAGAGTTTTTGCAACTGGGTTACAGCGTTCTTCTCTCAGATGTTGATATAGTATACTTACAAAACCCGTTCAACCATCTTTATCGGGATTCTGATGTAGAGTCCATGACTGATGGTCACAATAATATGACTGCTTATGGATATAATGACGTTTTTGATGAACCTGCCATGGGTTGGGCTCGTTATGCTCATACAATGAGAATCTGGGTTTTCAACTCTGGTTTCTTTTATATAAGGCCTACAATTCCGGCAATTGAGCTTTTGGACCGTGTGGCGGATCGGTTGGCTCGGCAACAGAACGCATGGGACCAAGCTGTTTTCAATGAGGAACTCTTTTTTCCTTCACATCCTGGGTATGATGGGCTTCATGCTGCCAAGAGAACTATGGATTTCTACAAATTTATGAACAGTAAGGTCCTCTTTAAAACAGTAAGAAAAGATGCTAAACTGAAGAAGTTAAAGCCAGTGATTGTTCATGCAAATTACCACCCAGATAAGCTTCGAAGAATGAAAGCAGTTGTAGAGTTCTATGTTAATGGCAAGCAGGATGCTTTGGACCCTTTCCCAGATGGTTCTGATTGGTAGGAGTAGCACAGTTGAGGATCTCATATTGTGTTGTTGACCCATGGCTGGGCTCACCGGTTCTCAAGCTGCAAAGTCGCTTGATATGGGTAGGTTATTCTGATATTATCCTCTGAGAAAGTGTCGAATGTGCATCTTTATTCTCCTCCTTTCCTTTAATTTTTGCGTTGTATTTCTGCTGTAACATTGTGGGAAATTTTACAAGCACGTCAATTGATATTACTTGTTTCTGTATTATGCATACTACAAATCTTATTAAGGTTTTTGTTGTTTTTCATGATAAAGTCTTGCTGCACTTCTGCATCGTACTTTGTGTGATTATCTTTCTGGATTTATAATTGTCCAAATTTACTGAGAAATTGCAAAAATAGGATAAAGTATAACCAGGGTGGAAATGAACAGGAGCCTGGTATGCTGCTTGTTTAATGTCAACTTGTCTAAAGGAGACATGAACAATGGGTTGTTTTGAGCATCAATGAACCTTTGTCTCAGGACCTCAATTTACCCTTACGTTTTGAGGGTGAACACTTGAGATTTCCGAGTTGCCAATAGAAGAGAGCAGGGGCGAGGGGCACTCTTCAATCAATCGAATTATAGTAGCTAAAGTCTAGATTCTATCAATTACTACTATTAGTATAATTGTTAGCTACAATGATAGTTCCTTTATCCACAAAGACCCTGGCCTCCAAGCCAGTAAAATTTGCTATTCATAAGACTGTTATCCACAAGGATTTTGCATCCATTACTAACTATTACAACTATTTTCGATAACGATTCTGCACCCAATCAGGGTTTGAGCGTTGTGCTCCTCAGGCAAATCTCGTGAATATCATTCAAGTTTTAATATCCACAATATTTCATTTTCTATCATAAGCTTTTTGTCGTATTTCTTATGAACTTCTCTCTCTTTAGGCTGAATTTGGTATTGTGAATGTCGAACTTATTTTTAAGCATTTAATTCTTAAAAAGGGTTTCGCCCATCGAAAATATTATTTGATTATAAAAAAGTAATGATCAAAACAAATTATTATAAATAGTAATTATTTTATTGATAATCACAATGTTATTGTTGTATCTATAAATTATAACATGTAATTTTAATTTTATATAAAAAATCATGATAAGAGGACACGTATACGCTATATTTCTTAAATCTCTTTATAAGACGATATTATCGTGATTATAAATTCTCTAATAATTACATTTTGCTGTTGTACTTATTTAAGTATCAAAAGCAACCTCAGGTTGGTGTACCGAACCATGGTGGGAAGAAGACTTGTGGATGAGATGCTTCCGAACTCCTTTAATAAGACTTTGTTATTGTAATTATAAATTTCTAAAGCGACCACTCATAACCTACTCAAGACCTGTAATCTCATTCTAAACAAACTGTAATTTGCACTCTTGCCAATTGGATCTGAACCTCAAGGCATTTTGCATTCAAAGGTAGGCCCTGGAAAGGATGCAACTGGAACCCAAATTAATGGCAAATAAATCTTGTCCGGGCATTTCATCAATTGGCCAAGACAGGATTATTGTCTTTATTCCTGAAAAAAAAATAAATCCGGCAGATTCCGGGTACTAGAAGAGGAAAGACATGATAACAGGCTGTCGATATGACTTGACGTGGTGGAAAACGAACTCAGAATCAACCTTGAAACACAAAAAATGTTTTGAATAACGGTCACCAAGAGAATTTTTGAAAATTGTTCACTGAATGACAAAATAGACTTAACATCTCTTCCCCCACCCTACCCACTTTGTATTTTTCTTGGCATTTTTCATACTCTTATCCACAGACAATTAGACAATCCACTTCAGCTTTTGTGGCTTCCAATCTTTGCTAAACCTCACGAACATATAACCTCCACCCTGTCTTCTTCTTCTGCTTCCTTGCTTCCTTGTACTTTCTTTTTTTTTTTTCTTTTCTTCTCATCTAAATTCCTCAACATGTTCACTTTCTCTCTGCAATTTG